TGGGGTGGGTGGGTACTGATCATGTCGCACAACACAATAGACAGATTTCGGAACACGTTCCCATGCATTTTCCGTCAATTTACCTCCTTAAATTTATCGAGTTTACGGGAACTGTCAAATTTTATGTGGGATGCCGTTAACTGTAACTGTGAATCGGCCATTTGTATGGCAAAGGTCATCCCCCTCTAGGGCACCGTCATTGGTCTTAAATCGTGGATTTCAACCAGTCGCGCATAACGTTAATAATGCACACTTCGTCACCTTGCATACCCCGACGTGGCCTGGTGTCCAGCCTTTTCCACGCTACTGTAAGGTGGGCCATTCCAAGCGTTGAGGTGGAGCGATTACGTGCATCTTATCTTGTCTTATTCATTCAGCCAGTTATCCTGAACCTTCTCCAGCAATCGGCGTAATTGTCTTGGTTCGATGTCCTGCTCGCACTCCTATGATTTGAATATGGGGCTTCGATGTTTCGCCTATAGGCGCATGAAGCGTACAGAAAACTCACAATTCTCATCCGTATGTGCACATAAGTGGACATGGTCGCATACGCAGTTCTGCCCCTCTAATCATGAACTAATCAACAAGCGGTTTCGTAAGGTGTCGTAAAGCCACTCCCTTGTTCAACGTGGCACGCAAAAACTGGTATGATAGTGATAGTAAAGTTGTGGACCCACGAGGTGTGTGACAAGACCACTTCGTGATGCCAGTTGTGGTAATGGAGCCACTGAGTAAACTTACGCAATGCAACAACAGGGAACTATGTGCGGTGTGGATTCGCCACCACACTTGCAAGCATACGGATATCGTTCCTCATGCGGATGTGGTAAATGCAAATAAGTTTTGTCGAAATCATGAAGTTGGGTCTGCCATATATTTCCCGTGCATTAAATTTCTGTGCGTGGGAAGTCTACGGTATTGCTTCCGAAATCTGTCTAATGCCGCACAAACCGAATCACGTGATGATCAGCGAAGGGGAGTCCCGTCGAGCCAAGGCAACAGATGGATACTGCAGCAATGTGTGTGTGGTGAGGCTGGAGTGACGGACATCAGAGCACGCTGGTGGGCGTACGGTAGCAGGGGATGGGGCAAACGTAGCCGCAAATGAATGTACACAACTTTGGACTGGACGCACAACACAATAGGCTGGTGATGCAAAAACGCAGTTGAGATGGTGGGAGTGAGAGGTGCTGGGGGTGAAATAGGGGAAACAAAGCACGACACGTGAGGCTAATGAATATCGAACGTCGGTGCAAGCTCGAGCCACCGGGGGTATTTTCGACTCAATTGCGAGTACTGAGACTGCCGAAGTAACAAGTCTAGCTCAGCCATCAGAGCAGGTCGAGTGATATCGTCAGGGGGTAAACGACGGAGCCACGACCGTACTGTGGCAGTCCAAGTGACAAAGGACAGGTCAATGAGGGCCGGGAGGGGTGGTAGCGCGTGGCCCTGATATTGAATGATTGTGGTGAAACCACAGGAGGTGTAAACAGACACCAGTGACCATGACCCATAACTGAAACAGTGCTGGTTTGAGATGGCCGTGGTTGACGTGACAATAAAAGTCGTCCACGTTCAAAATGTTGTGCCAGGAAAATCGGACTCCAGTAGGCCGCCATGCTGACTGGTGGGCTTGCCACAGGGGGGCCAATCGAGGGCAAGCAAAAAGTGCGTGGAGTTGAGACTCAGCTTCGAGGCAGCCATGCGCACACATCATGGCGCTGGCGTCTGTAGCCTGGCGAAACACGAAACGAGAATTTACAGGAAGCATGCCAAAGAGGACACGGAAACACACATCCGCATGCACAGGGGAGAGGACTTCCATGGACTTGCGCACCAATCGCAAGTATATCCGAGCCGACTTGAAGTCGGGGCGGGTAGCACTTTTTGTGGGGTGGTCGCGAGTGGGATAGGCAGAGTGGGACGCTAGAAACTGCACAAATCTCTTCAGCCACACCTCAAACGGAACAACGATGTCCTTGATTTTGGATCGAAAGGCATGTTCGGTCAGAGGAAGCATTTGGAGCTGGGCTTCGTGGGGGATTGATTAACATCGTGGAGGATTTTCGTGAAATGCTCGTAAATCAGACGGGAGTTTTCGACTGGGGCAAATCGGATTGACCCGTTCTGCAACACGACTGGGACTGCTCGATTACCGGACGACATGGCGGCAATAAATTGGTGGAAGGAGGGCCACGATCTGCTGACAGAAAATTACGGAGGCTGCGAAGCCCGTTGCTAGCACTATGGAGGCACCACGAACGAGTAGGTGCTCGTTTTGACGACATGCGTGCAGCGTTGCTTTTGTGAATATCGAGGAATGGAGCGAACGTTGAGTCCCACAGGGGCAAGTCGAGAGTGGTAGCAATGTCCGGGGCAATGGACATACGTCGTTCCAAGGGTATGCGTGACCATTCAAACCAGACGTCAAGCCACAATGGATGGAGCTCGGTAGTATACATCCATGCCGATAATGAGTGGGGGTATTGTCACAGAAAGTCAAATGAATGTGATGGCCGGTACAGGTGCTGGAGGCACTGAGCAAACTGTTGCTGGACCAAACACGCCCAAGGTGGAGGGGAGTCGGAGGCAGGTGAGCACATTAATCGCTGCAGGAGTAGCAACCGTTGGTTCCGAATTGTGGAAGCAATGTGGGAGACGCCGAGTCCGATGCGCTTGTCATGATGCCACATACGATGCAGGAGCGGACGATATGAGGGGTCGTCGGTTGTTCGACTGCCAAGGATGTAATTGGTGATCATTCGTTACCACGTTGCAACCATGACGGCAGGCACAGGTGTCACCGCCGTTATATGCCAGATTTGGGACAGGATCATCGTGGAGGCTATGGTGCGACGACCTTGGATTGTTCATGTTCGACATTTCCATTTCGGCAGGGTCGAAAGGAATTTGTCGTGGATTAATCGGGTTTGGAATGCAGGGTCGAGTTGGTGGCCCACAATGGCGCCGAGAAATCGAACGGGTGTGCCAGACGGCGCAAGTATCAGGAAAGGAGCGCCACGTCGAAGAGCGGGGACCTCGCCGTCGTTCAAGACGAGGATGGTACACTTGTGGAGGTTAAGTGCAGCTCCAGAGACAGAGCAAAATTTGTCCACCTAATTCAGCTGATTCCAGCGAGTTGGACAAGGGGTGGTGTCGTCGGCAAAGAACACACTGGTGAGGACCGACCCATGAGGTTGAGGTATACGAAGGTGGGGGCGGCACGAAGCATGTCACCTAGGGGTTCGATGTAGAGGTCGAAGAGGAGACTGGTGAGTGGACACCCTTGTTTGGTACCACGGTTGGGATGAATGGCTGGGCCGAGGGCGTTGGACAGCAGGAGGTGCACCGACGGATCTGTGTACAGTACTTTGACCCATGTCAGGAAACTTGGACCAATGTTCATATTGCGAAGGACGTCGAACAGGAAGCTGTGGTCAACATGGTCGTAAGCCTTGGCAAAATCGAGAAACATCGCATAATGTGTTGTTTCCCACGCCAGTGCCAACACAAACAACCAAATGGGGGAGTGCCGACTCCCTGCAAACCACACACTTGATTGACTTGATGTTAGCACTACGTTGCAGAACCAAGAGTGAGATTCTGGCAGTTGGCTGAGACAGGTGTTCTGTTTTCTACGTCCTAGTATTACTAGTAATACTACGCCTTTTCGCCAAGGGTCGGCACCCGGTGGCCTCGGTTGAGGACCACCTGTGTT